GCCGAGGTTTGTTTTTTTTTTATCGTTATTTCTTTTAATTATGCTACAATATATAAGCATTACTTTTGTAAGCAATGAGAGATATATAAATGATATGTCCCGAAAAGGGATATATTTGTTCGAAGTAGCAAAGTGGTTTTGGACTACTGTAACCGAGTAGGACAATCTAGCAGGTAACCGCAATGGACTGGTCCTCGTCGTAGTGGTAGGCAATAGGCGTAGGCAATAGGCGAAGACAATAGGTGTTTCCCTGGACCTCCATATCAGTCTGTATTTATAGCTGACACAAGCCATCCATATTGCTGTGAGGGGGAACCAGGTGTATGCATAAGCATTACATCACTATAATTAGTGTAACTATAGTTTTCCGAAATTAGGGAACTTTTAATGTATCAGGTCATCCCATAAGTTCTGTCCGAATTTTAACTTTTTGTTAAAATGAATGAAATTTAAAGAGTTTTTTATAATGTCTAATGAAGCTGAATATTATTTTTATGTTTAGATGCATTTAAACTGATCAAATTTTATTTCAGAGAACAATAAAATTAAATTTTGTTTGATTAAAACCCTGCTAACATGGAAGTACCCAAGAATCATTTGAGGCACATAATGCTTTATGAGTTCAAGAAAGGAAACTCAGCAGCCGAAGCGGCTAGAAACATTCACTCAATTTATGGAGAGGAATATGTGAATGAAAGAACTTGCAGAAGATGGTTTGCAAAATTCAGAGGTGGAGATTTCACCCTTGAAGATGAAGATCGAACCGGACGTCCAGTTGAGTTTGATGAAAAGCTTCTTTGAGCAGCCCTTGAAGAAAATCCTGCTTTATCAGTTGAGGAATTGGCAGTGGTTCTCAGTTCAAACCATACAACTGTACATCGTCATCTTCAACAACTTGGAAAAGTTCCTAAGCTTGGAAAATGAGTGCCTCATGAATTGTCTGAAAACAACCTCAAATCCCGAGTTGACATCTGCTCTTCTCTCCATTCTCGCCAAATTGTTTCACCTTTTTTGGATAGACTTGTGACTGGCGACGAAAAACGGATCTTTATCGAAATGTTGAGCGTTGTAGACAGTGGCTTGGTAAAAGGAAAGGATCCAAGCAACAGCCGAGAAGGGAACTTCATGGGCAAAAGGTTCTTCTTTCAATCTGGTGGGATCTCCAAGGAATAATCCACTTTGAATTCTTACCACCTAATGCAACAATTAATGCTCAAATATACTGTCAGCAATTAGAGCATTTGAACCAAGCTTTGAGGAAAAAACCTGCTCTAGTGAATCGAAAAGAGGTGATGTTTCATCAGGGCAATTCGCGACCCCACACAGCAAGAACCACGTCACAAAAGATCGAAGAACTTGGTTGGGAGAAAATTCCTCATCCACCTTATTCTCCCAATCTTGCTCCTTCAGACTACCATTTGTTTCGTAGCTTACAGAATCATTTGGAAGAAACAGCTTTTGTAACACAGAAGGAGGTTAAAACTGACATTTGTGAGTTCTTCGAATCAAAGCTAAGAGAATTTTACAGTAATGGAATTAGTAAGCTTGTTAATAGATGGAAGGAAGTCATAGATAATCAGGGAAAATATATTGTTGATTAAATCTGTAATTAAATGTAACATTTGGTCACTTGTTTTCTTTATTGAAACTTCGGACAGAACTTATAGGATGACCTGATAGTTTATTATGACTATTTATATTTTTAATTCTTTCCTTTTTCTTTTTTTAAAATTTTAGATGATTTTTTAGTTTTCTTATTTCCTGCGTACTTCATTGGCTTCCTTTCTGTCTACTTTACGTCTTCTCCTTAATGTTATACTTTTATTATATTGTTTTTCTACTTCTTTCTTTCTCTTTTCTCTCCTTATTTTTTCTTTCCTTCTTCCCCCCCCCTACTCTTTTATTCATTATTTTTCTATTTTATTTCTTTTTATGGTTGACACTTGTTTTTACATTATTCTTTCTTTATTTCTTTTTTGTCTTGCTTTCAATGTTTTCTATTCGTTTTCTTTTTTTTTTTTTCATTTTCATTTTCACTTGTTTACACGTTTTTTTTTTCTTATTCATCTTCGTTTTTGTTTTTTCTTTCTATCCTTTTCTTCGTCTTCAGAATAATTTTTTCACCAATATGCACAAGTAGTAAACAAAGCGAGAGCCAATTCCTAAAGATGGCAGCACATAACTGAAACTTTTTTTTTCCTTCTCGTCCTCCGACTAACGTGGTTTCCTTGTGCACCCGATTCCTTAGATCTATGATTCCAGAGCTCACCATTCTGTTTTACAGCCGAAAAACAATAACTGTACCGCTTTTAACACACACACACACACACACACACACTGAGTAAAAGAAAGAGATAGAGGGAAAAGGAGAGAAAAAGAGAAAGAGAGAGAGAGGGAAAGATAGCGATAGAGGAAGATAGAGAGAGATAAAGATGGAGGGCGAGATAAAGATAGAGAGAGATAAAAATAATGACATAGAAATAAAGATAGAGAGAGAGAGAGAGAGAGAAAGAAAATACAGATATAGATAGAGAGAGATTTACAGACAGAGATAGATAGAGAGATAAATATACAGATATAGATTAAGGGAGAGAGATACATATATAGAGAGTGAGACAGATATAGAGAGAGATATACAGATATATAGACAGAAAGATACATATATATATATATATAGAGAGAGAGAGAGAGAAAGATACAGATAAAGAAAGAAAGAAAGAAAGAAAGAGAGAGAGAGAGAAAGAGAGAGAGAGAGAGAAACAAGATTATCTTTTTATAACATCTCTTTTGATTATCTTTGATTTTTTCCCTTGGCACTCTAAGATCTCGTTTCCCATTCCTTCGCTTTTAATACAGTTTTACTCTTCTTTTTACTTGCCTTTGAACTTTTATCCATATTTATTTTTACAGGGGAAGGAAGGATGGAGTATGCGCCGGTTTAACAGATTCAAATAATTATGACTGACCCTGCGGTAGAGAGTTGAGCGTTTCCACTTCATGCTAGAAGTCGGATTTCGAGTCAAGGTTAAACTCAAAAGACCAGCATTACTAGTATTGATCTTTATCAGACAGGTAGATGCCCCGAGATTTTCTTTTAGAGAGAGTTTATTGAGGCTGAGTTTCAGCGATATCTCCGACTATGTTTGTCCAAAGATAGACTTTAACTTATGAATTATGTGCAATAAAAAGTTCACGATCATACCTGATAATTAAATAAAATGATTTTAACAATGATCTTGCAACATATATATATATATATATATATATATATATATATATATATATATATATATTAGTAGTAAATATACACATACATATCTAAATATATAAATATATATACATAGGTGCATACACATACATGTATATTTTTTTAATAAAAAATTCCAAGAGGATAGAATCCAGGTAGAACTCAATGTTCAGGATAGAGTAAGGATATAATAAAAAGGCTTAAAAACTAATATTCCATGCTCATAATTTATTCCATTGGAATCGTAAATACGATCCAATTCATCAGACCTACAAACTCAAAAAGAAAACAGAAAAAACAACTCCGGAAATAAAAGTAGAATTTACAGAGTGTAAGTATGAGAGTGGGGACGAATGTTAGATCTAAAGAGAGGGGTAACAGACGAGAGAAGGTTGAAGATTAAACCTTAACAGATACACACACACACACACACACACACATATATATATATATATATATATATATATATATATATATATATATATATATATATACAGAGGTAATAAACTCTTCACATGATGAATGTATATGTATTAATTATATTTATTATCTATGTTTCTATTTCTTCTCCATATTAATCATATCTCATAACTGCGACCTGTTCTAAGAACTCTCTTCTCTTTTATCTATATACCTTTTTCTTTTAGTATAATTGGTATGGTTTGGTTTTCTTAACAATCTTCTTTTAAGCTATAAATGGATAATTTATTTTACCTTAATTTATTTATTCTTTAATATATTTTTTTTAAATATATTCTTACTTACTATAGATTATCTAAATATGATTTATTGTTAACCCTGTTAATATATCTTTTTTGTAAGTATAATTTATTATTTTTTAAGTGGGAACTTAATGTTCTTATATATACATTTTTTTTTTTGTATATAAAACTCCATTTTCGGTACTTTTTAGTTTCAAATCAATACATCATTCTTCTTATAAACCCAATTTAGGATCATAAGTTTAATATCCGGGTTGATTTCGTGGAGTCTCTTACCTTTAAGACTAATAACTTCCGCCTTCCCCTTACCACTAACCCGCAGATTTCGTCTGGATGAGGCCTCGAAATGGGTAGGTTCTATACCAATTTTTCGATGAGATATTTGCGAATGTAAAACTTTTTTGTCACGTTCAATTTTGGTAAAGGCCCAGGGAGCAATGTTATTTGACTTTAAATATCAGAGGACGTAAGAATATGACCCTCACAGAAGTGGCAACTAACATATACATTGTCCTCTCATTTTTATGGGTATTATGTTAGAGTTGCAAATTTTCTTATTTGTTTTTACGATAGATCTTAAAAACCTCAGCATGAGATTTTTGTCCTTCCTTTATTAAGTCGAGATGTCCTGTTTTACTTACAAAGAAGCGCTTTACGATTTTTTTTTTTTACATTGCAAATTAAATTACCAGCATCAATTTTATATTCTTGTGCCTAAGGATCATATTAGGTAAATCTTACAAATTATTTATTTATAGGGTGACTTTAAAAAAAATTGGAAATTAAACTGTTCTTTTATTATTTTTTAATAATATGGCAATTACGTAAATAAAATTAAAATAAGATGCATATCTTGTAATCAATGAGAAGGAAACCTTATAACACTCAAAGATTATTAACTAAATCATATTGGTGATTTAAAAAAAAAACTGAGATCTTCGTTGAACACTTACAAAAAGATATAGAAATCAAAATTGCAGTGTGGCATTGGCAGGACTGTCAAAAATGTCTTGGCTTATAAACCAAAAATG